AAGTGAGTGGTGATGTCCTGTAAATTTATTATGTATTCATTTGTTCTCATAATAGTAGTTTTAGTGATGACAAATCAGGATTTTGAGCCCTCAAGTGATATGATTCATTAAAATTCATTCATTTTAAAATGTGTTTTAACATTTTCGTTAATTTTAAACTGCATCATCTCGACAAACTATGTTTTATCCTTGTCCACAATCATGGCAGTGAAATGATCTAATGTGTGGGTGTGCCAAAAAAACAGCAATATCAATATTGCAATGATAGTAACACCCCCTTCGAAGTGTGGTTGATTTGTTTTCATCTATCAGTTCAGTTTAACATAGCTACAAATAATTACAAAAAGAAAATTGAAAACAAATTTAAGTACTGTGTGGATGGGATGTTATATTTTACCCATAATCATTTGCCGAAGAATCGAGTTGTTAGATTATATAAATTGATGAAAAATTGAATATCTATAGAATGAAAAGTGATATAAAAAAATTTTAAATTTGAATTTTTTTACATTTGTGGAGCTCTTTCATCTGGATTATTATGTTGTTAGCCTTGACTTTTCCTTTAACTGTGTCTACATGTGTACTTTTCATGCTAATTCATCATCGTGCTGACGATAATGCAGGCAGCAGCGGTTCATTTCCAGAAAAATAACCCAGACATTTATGTGTACATTAAAAGTCCTGTCTCATTACTGCAGGGATATATATCAATTTGTAATTTATGGTTTCCATGGCAATGTTGAAATTTAATTGCTCACTTAATTAATAATTTATTTATTTTTTTGACTAGTTTGATTCTAATTACACATGGAATTGCTTGTCTTATGAAAATGACTCTTTTTATGTGAATAATTGATGAATTCTTGTTTTGACTGCATGCTAGACCTCAATCACACTTTACTAGAATAGAGAACTGAAACTTGGATACTTGGCATGGCTGTCATGGTTAGGTTATGCCATGGTTCATGAATTTCTTCTGAAAGTTGTCAGTCTCTGAGGTGTTTTATGTAGAATTGAACAGCTGTGTCTGCAATTCTTAGTCAGTGTGTGCCTGCAACACCCTGTCATCCCATAATAAAGATTCAAACATACATGTACTACTGGGTATATGCAGAGGAATGCTTATTATATGTCTTGCTTCATTCTTGTTCCAAGATATACACATACTGTATTTATTCCATTAGTAGCACATGTACTTTATATAATGACAGACTTGTGTCTATGGTCAAAAATATTGCATGTTTGTGTCCTAAGTCATATTTTAATGATCCTGCGCTCAATAAATGCAGTTTTCGGTGCTTCTAGTAGAGATGCGCTTCTAATTGACCAAAACTTTATATAGTGCTAAATAGCCAGAATGCGTTTTTCTCGTGGATCTAAAAAGCAAAAGCTCTGGCATATTGTACTCACTAACTTGGGATTTACAACCACATCATAAATTATTAGTGAATGGTAATTAAATTTTGTCAATCAGCAATGGTTTAACAATATCTCACCAATATCTCATGGAGACTGAGTGCATGCATATGTGGTCTATATCTTGTTTGCGACAACGTACAAAAACATTATTACAGTCTGTTAAGTGATCACGTACTGCAGAATGTGATTAGTTCAGTCATAGTTTTACATATTATGAGGTTGTTGTAAATCATATCGACCAATGCGCAGCGGAGATGAATACAATCGTACCTTACCTTGTGGTATTCATCTGATAACAATATTATTATTCATCTCTTTCCTGTTTACAATAATAAGTTAATAAAGATGACAGTGTTTTGCTTTGTTCAAACTTTCACTGATGGATCATATTTTGTCAAGCGCTATTGTGCCACAATAACATTTTTATTTCAACTATTGTACACAGACGGAATTGTATGTTTTAGTCAATTGTCAGTTTGCCAGTCAAAGACGTGGAACGGCTACAAATGTTCCAGACATACAATTTACAATGTCCTTGGAATCTAATGGTACTTTTAATACTACATGTAGTATGAAGTAAATGAGGCATTCTGCTTTCGCTACATGGTATCACAAATGTTGCTGCACACTAAAAGGAGGGTGTATTTTTCACATTTTCCACATGACAAACCATCCGTACCTGTACACATGGTGAAGGCAACACAATGCTATCTAAATTACTGCATGTTACTCAATACAGTAGTAGAGCATGTGAAAGGAAATTCGTTGTTTCTCACACCTATACATTTTTTTGAATGCAAAATAATATGGATCCATCACCAATGGCAACAAGTGTAGCGTAATTGGTAGTGAAAATGCTTCTCATTTCAATCAACATGTCTGTTTGTCTTGTGCTAGTTGCAAACACAATCTTTCCCGAGCTACATGTTGCCAACAACAAAAAATAATAATTTTAAAAAAAAGCTTTGAGACCTCATTTTCTGATTCCAATGATAAGAGAAACTAATTTAGTTTTTTCATGGCCTAAGCAATTAGCACAAAGTAACCTCTATTACTTTCTTTACAATTAGAGGGCTGCATTTTGTGCCAGTTTTTCAAATCTTTTGACCTTTCTGAGCACACTTGGGGTATAAAAATGTCATACTTATCAACGCACAAGTGAACAACAACAAAAATTCCAGATATTTGCATACATTTATCATGTACCAGATGTTATGTATTATTAAACCTTTGACCACTGAATTCAACTTTTGTCCTTTACAACCTGCATAATTTTGTTCATATTAAATTTCAAAATTTGGATCAAGAAATTTAGCCAACCAGGAATTATGTCCATTTAGTCTCAAGTGTTATCCAAATTGGCAAAAAACTTATGTCGTTTTAATTAAATTTAGATTCTTCAAATTCAATGAAAATTTCCTTTCTTACCCAAAATAGTATGATTTACACCACTTTTACTTGTATTTTACCAAATAAACTGTAAAATGATTTACCATTTCAGGCATATTCTGTGGGTTTTTAAATTCAAGGTTTTATCATTTAGATAATGTGTTCTATGCTAAATATTACATATTCACTGGGTTTTAATTTAGCGCATTTTTCCAGTCAGCGAAATAAGTAAAATTAAAACCCAGTGAATAATTAATCCTTTTACAGTATATTAAAAAACAGGACGTAATTCCGCTCTGTTTTAATCGCAATGATCTTGATAATACCTTGAGGGTTTATGTAGAGGCACCTAATAAAAGTCAGTTTTCTTAATAGATGATTCACTAAAGCTTTTCATTAGCTGTCTTAATGTAGAAATAGACACTATCAATATTTCATATTTTATCTGGGTGATACCATTATGCTTATAGGAATGGACAACGTTGATTTGGACTGAAGGACCAATTACATTAAATTAGTACTGCAAACTAAATAGTTTACCTTGTGCATTTTTAAATACACATCAAGTTAATGCCATCTTGTGTCATCATAGTTCTTACAATGTATCATTGCTTAATAATTCTGTAAACTGACAAAATGTATTTCTAAATTATTGTTGTTTTATAACCAGTAATGTAGAAACAGGCTGGTAGCCAGCCAGCCAAAATAACCACATATGGTTCTTTGAATAAAATACTGGGTTATTTTTGTTTGGCAGTAAAATATAAATATATAAATGTAGTGACCACCTACATTTTCATCATGTTTCCTTCTACATGAAATTCAAAACAATATCCCAGATATTATGAACTAGTATGAGAATAAATATTTGTGTGTATTTGTCTAAAATATTTTTTCTCAATTTGGTAACCCATCTTATGTCATTGTCCTGACATAAGTTGTCTCTAGGACTTACCTTGACAATATTTGAAGGCTCCACCTGTCACTGTAAAAGTGACCTTCAGTTGAATTGGATTGATAAAATCTTATTTCATTAGTTACAGTCATTACTTTACCAGCAAATCTAATCACCCCATGCACTACAGTATACAGATGAACCCAATCAGTAGACATTGAAATGCCAGCTTTACATCTTGACTACATGTACACTGATAATTGAATAAATTAGACATGGATGGCCATATGTTCAAATTGTTTAATTAATTCCCTCTGAAAATGTCAGACTTAAAAGTATGACATGTGTACAACAGTTTCATGTTCTGTGTTTTCCCAACAGACATTACTCATTGCTTCTACATTTGTTTCTGGTGGTAGGCAAAGACCCCCCCCCCCTGGTTTTAAATGGTCAACCCTTAATCTGTTTCAATTGAAAATTTTGCTCAGTCTTTATAACCAAAGACACTAGATAATACATGTATTTTTCACTGTCCTTGTTATAACAAGCTTTTAGTTTCTGTTTTGGTGAGCACAATTTTCTTGACCACTTATCCAACCTTTTATCTTTAGTGTTTATTTAATAATCACCTACAAAAACTGTTATTTGTTTTGTTGATTGCCTTCTGAGGGCATTTACAATTTGTACTGAAATGCATGTGCTTCTATGAAAGCAAATGCAGGGTAGAGGTTCTCCAGTGATTTAAATTAGGTTCAAGCCAGTACATTCTGTTCTTCGTGATCCCACTTTCTAACTTCTCCATTTGTGACTAGAAAAAAAGTAAACGCTTCAGTGGGGTTGGTTAATGCATGGATGTACTAGGAGTACATCCATGGTTAATGCAAGCAGGTTGTTGTTACTGTGATTATTTAAATGATACACTCATGTGCATTGTGGGATTTGCATGATTCATCTCATTTGCGTGAAAATCAAGGAATTTAATTTTTCCGTCAATTATTATATCAAAGTGTGATCACCAACATATCCACATATGAAGTTTAATATGATTACATCATTCCCTAAGAAGTCCCTCACTTGGTTTTTGTTTAAAATGAATTGCTTCCTCATAATTCGTAAGCAGTCACTGTTTCTGACATTTTTAGTCAAATTGTTTTGGAAATGTAACCAATCTCAATTCCTCAGGCAAGGAAATCTTTCAATCTGCATACCAAATCTGTATACACCTGTTTGTTCTTTGCAAATATCTTTCAAACCGGTACTGGAATTATTTATATTCTGCGTATGTTTATTCATTTAGGTATTTTATGGAACAGATTGGAACAGTTGGAATATGGCCTTGGAGACATGATACTGATGTGGTAATCCCTCTTACACTACCCTGCATCAGGAATGGAATGATCCATGAATGTATCCAGAAATCCAGCTCTTGTGATGTTCTGCTGCTTTTAACTATTGTCACTGTAATGCAGCTGCAAGCCATGTCTGTGGCTTTGTGGAACTGAAGTGAAACTATTAGCAAGAGAATCATGTAGAAAACTGTAACATCTATACAGACTGTATGAGATGTATTATTTACAACTTCCTGGGCGGTATGAAATAATTTGGGGGGAGGGACTAATGACACCAGTCAGCTGTTTGGAAAGGATGTGATTGTCACCTTGTTTTTTCCACTTTTGTAGTGCTGAATTCCTACTGCTGACATGTCAATCAAGCATCAGTTCCTGAACGCAGGTTTTAGGAACTGTTTACCTCAGTAGTTTGTGTGGTGTGCAGTGAATTCATTGCAACATAACTAGATTACAGCTGCCTGTGCCCACTGTCAATATACTGCCTGTATTTTTATTTTCAGTGGTCTTCTTTATTCTTCATTTGCTAACTACCTGTGCTTGATGACCCCCTTATATACCCTGCCAAATTTAAATATTAAATAATAATCCTGACTATTAGAATGTTTATTGCATTTATATTGGAGGAAATATCTCTTTGAGAAAGTAAAATTTGTTACTGTCTCTCGTTTCATTTACACTTTTACTAAAGTGGTTTTGCATCAGTAAAACCCTCCAGGAATCTTCTCTCATTGTATCCCATTTATTAAGTGTATATAAATCAGAATGTTTCCACATTCGTCTCTTGTGGTTTGAAATCTGCCCATGCACTTCTTCCCATGCCTATTTCATTCTTTCCACGTTTGCGCAAGATTCACAGTCGATTAGATTTCTCATCTACATCCCTATCTGATGGTAAGTACTGAGGACAAAAAAAAACTCAGTCTTGGAACGATCATGTGAAATTACTAGTCATTTAGAGTTTGTCTGCTAAATCTAAAAAAGGCTGTACCATTTTTACAAACCCTAATGAAAGCATTTATTCCATTGAAAACATATGGATTTTGACCTTACAGCTGCAACATTTATATAGGAGGCCAGTCAATTGTGTGTTAAAATGAGTTTCACACTTAGCACAGCACGTCCATCTTTTCCCTGGAATCACTTTATCCATCTTATCTGTGGGTGTGACAGCTGCAGCCAATTGTATAGTAATATGATAGATGTCCAGTGGTGGTTATGTGCTTTATATCCTTTTACCACAGATACAATCTATATAATGTCATTACTACCAAAATAAATTGATTTTTTTTTTTTATGGAGAGTGGGGTATTCAAAAACATGTGCAATGACTCAAGATGTATATTTCTTTGTAAGTTAACTTCAATTTTGTGAATACTTTCTGAATCATATTATGGTAGGTGTGATTTTTTTTTTATCTGTTCTGAATGTTGACATTCAGACTAAAACATGTGGACTGTTGTAGTCACTTATTTCAAAAAATATTTAACACAGCAATAAGTTGTACAACTGTTAAAATGCTTTGTAAAAGTTGTGAATTTATCTCAAAAGTACTAAATTTAACAGGAAATTTTTCATGGCTGTCTCATAAATGGAACAATTTAAATTTAAACAGTGTATTCAGTTTAAATATAAAGGGAAAATTGAAATTGTCTCTTGTATATACTAGTATTGCATTGTATTGTATGGCTACTTCACCTGTTTGTATTTTTAATGAGAGCAGTGTAAAGACCACTCTGGAATGTCTCATAATTGGAAAATGGTGGTGAAAAATTCAAGAGAGAAATGTCAAACTGGGGCACCCCTTTGCTTTTTGGAAAACCTTTCTTAATTAACTTTCCTAGACAGACAGCTATACTTCCAGTGGGTGGGTTGGTTGTGCATGTATTACTAGAATGTATGGAATTCCACTTATTCGTTAACAGTGCTTTTATAACATGCTATGCTACAATGGATGAATGTTTGGCAAATACGTTCTTACAGTTATAACTAATTGTGGGGGGAAACGCAGTGGGGGGAGCTAATTGAGCAGAACTTAATTTCTCTCTGTGGAGTCATATTCTATGGAATGTTAATAGTATTACACAACTATTACATCCAAACATGCAGTTTCCAGGCATGCATAGGCCAGATCTCCACAATGCTGGGGTTTCCAGGCATGCATAGGCCAGTTTCCCGGCATGCATAAGTCAGATCTCCACAATGCGGGAGTTTCCAGGCATACATAGCCCAGATTTCTGCAATGCTGGAGCTTCCAGACATATGTATAGGCCATCTCACAATGCTAAAGTTGCAACAATGGTCATTGCAAAGGTTTTCCATAGCAGTGTATGTCCATACCCCACAGAAGTATAACTTTCTGTGCTGTATATTCAAGGTGAAATGCCAATGACTTCAATCCTGGATAAATTCCTAGGTAAACATCTCTTCTTCTGTTTCTTGTACTGTATGAAATTGGTGTTTGCTTAGAATCAGTGGATTTCATAACATAATTAGAATGGCAGTGATAGTTACTATTTGCTGTATTAGTAGCATATGTGCCTATGTAAATGACACACAAGTCTATGGTCAAACTAAATCATATTTCCTATGTCCAAATAATGCATATTTTAGCTCCGCTATCGTCATATGAGTGATTGACCGTCGTTGTCTGCATCAACTTTTTACTTTTTCAACTTTTTCTTGAAAACTACAAGTCTGATTGCTTTGATACTTGATGTACATGTATTTGTACCTTGGGTAGACCTCTTTCAGATTTGTTCATTTCATGATGATCTCTTCAAGTCTCTCATTTAGATGAATATTTTTGGCATTTTTAGTAAAAAGTGACATTTTTCCCCGATTGCTTTGATAGGTACATTAAGTGGACCGATCTAATATTTGTTAATTCCGTGATAATATCTTCAATTCTCTAACTGAAATGTGCATTGCTCAGTGGAGCTATCTCAGCCGAGAGGCTGCTTATTTGGTTTTAGTGCTCTTTCATTGGTGATGTGCAAAAGCAGTACTTCTCTGTTGAAGCTGAAAGTAATTCAGCTGTTTTCATGGTGTGAAAAATAAGAGATCATTTGAAAACTGCTTTTAATTACAATTTTATGCAAATTATCACTCTGAAAACTACATACATGTATATAACTATATACACTGTATTCTTGAAATATGAGCATATCACATCACGTTATATTGTTTATATTGTTTCACTTGAAGTACATTTAAGATCATCTTGATAAAACTTAAAAATCCCTCTCTTTGTACGCATTAAAAGTCACAAAATCTGTATTTATTTTAGATATAATGTAAATATAAATGGGATATAAAATAATTTGAAAAAGTGATTTCATACTTCATTGGTATCCATAGGCTTCTTTTCTGTTTTGTTATGGGAATGAAATGAAAGCTTTAGTATTATAACAGAATAATAAAAAAACAAAACAACAGGAGTTCCTTTTATTTATGATACATTACCATTACTATACTTATGCCATGATACCAAAGCATTATTTTTAAGATACTAATTAGTTCAGATGTTATAATATGTGCAGTTTTGGATTAAGACTGTTTTGTTTTTGAAAATAATAATAATGCATCTACAATATGAGGCATTTAAAAACTTACAAACTTGCTAGTTTTTAGTCTTGTATCACCTGTGGGACTATCAGTCATATATACATTGAAAACCAATTTATTTCGCAAGAGATAGTCTGGCAAAATCGTGAAATGTTTCAGCAGTGAAGGTTCTACTATAATTAGGAATTGAAGTCACAGTGAACATTTTCCTGGGGTCATTAAGATGTGAAGCCACAGTGAATGCTCTTAAATCATCAAACTGCAAAAATTAATAGCGATAAAATAACAGTTTATAGTATGTATAGGATTTGCACATTTATCATTTTCGTATCTCCCGTTGCTTACATTTGGGTCATTCATTTCCATCTTTCTTGCATTGCATATTTGCATCACGTATTTCAACCACTCCACTGGGGATCTAAACTTACTCTGGGAAATCACAAATAACACCATCTATCTTCTCGGATCTACCAAGTCTGCAAGGTCATTCTTAAAAGAAATTATCTAATAAAAATTAGTCTATTAGATCTCTAGCATTGTGTAGTAAGAAGCGTAGTCATAGTGTGTGATGCAAATGTGATAAATGGATGACGTAAATGTAATAGTTGGATATTCAAATGTGATAAATACAATATTTCTATGACATGCAATAAATACACCAATCTGCGCGACAGGTTACACAAAAGTCACGATGTGTATCTTAGTTGAGTGTTAACAGTATGCCCTAATACAGTAGTTCAAAATGAAGACAATACATGTATATGCCATTTACAGTGTTTTATCAACTGTATATTTCATCAAAGACATTAGAAAAAGAATGTCTTTGATTTCATAGATATAAACTTCCTATAATGTACAGAATCCTACCCCAGATTTGTCCAGTCTAGTCTAACTGGTTAGAACTGAGACATTTAAACAATATCATAAACTGGAAATATATCTCTTAACCCCTTGAGTGTCAAAGTCAACATCAGTCATTCACAAAATAGTTCCTTCCATAGTCTACTCTGTTCAACAAAAGATATTGACAACAATTTTTAATTTGTTGATTAAAAAACTAGAAACAATATTGTATTTAGTCAGTTTGGTGCAAAATTGAGACTGAATTAAGGGAAAAAATGTAAACGTGAGCATGAAAAAGCCACTCAAAGGGTTATATCAGTTATGTATAAATGCTTGAGATCAATTCTATTGTATATATTCTGTCTGAAATTGTTTTTAAATTTCCATTCAATTTTAAATCCTCAGTCTATTTGCATATTTATTCTATGAAATGTCATGTGCCAGTGATTTGATTTGACATCACATACTGGTTAGATATTGTGGAATTGGGTGTGTTAAGCCTGTACAAGTAAGTACAGCAAGTATGTCTGTGTAACACAGAAACAATAGAATTCCATCATCACTTCATTGAAAAAGGGTTGGGCTAGAGTTTGCTAGGTTGAAAAAAAAAACACTACAAAAATGATTAATATCTTGTGTTTGTATAGGGAGTGGAAAGGCTGAAATAAATTTGTTTCTTACAATATTATACCCGATATCACATTATTTGTGTGTTTTGGTCATTGCTCCCAAAATTAAAAGGACATGCTGCATTGTTGGGTAATTGACGAGAAATTTATATATGTTGGGAATATAAAATAAAATAAAAAAATGTATTAACTCTACACGATACCCTTGATCTATTCATACCAATATATATCAATAACTTATATGATATGTATTTGTTTGTATCCAGTATCGGTTGCCTACTTTAAAAAATATTTATTCTTCAATCAATTCAGATCTTCAATCAAAATTATACCATAACATGTTTTGAGCCCTCAGTTTATATACGATCAGTCGATCATATTATTATTTTTAAAAAAGTTCTATTTATTATTTTTATTGTCCTGTCTTCTATTGTTTAGAGGCGGTAGTCTTTGGTATGCTTTAACATTATTCAGTGTATTTCAGTTGTTATAATTGTTGACATAGATTTTCTATGTATTTGTTTCTTATAGTTGTTTTAATCTATCAGCATTTTATTTTGACTCATTGGAAAATAAAGTCGTTTGTTGTGAATTCATGAGTTTTCATTTTCATTCCACAAAGTGTCGAAGTATCCATCACTCTACTTCTTTAAATAACAGGTTTTCCATGCCCAGCATGAATGGGCTATTTGTTCCTATCTAAGTGTGCATGTATTATCTTGTTGCACAAACTGCAGAGATTGGTATTGAATCTTAATTCACAATTGTTGACAGAAAAATCACATGTGTGAAATTGATATCGCATTTCTGTAAGAGAAAGTATCAAAGAGAAATTTTAAAATGGGTTGTGTTGCTGAAATGAATGATTTTAAAATGTGAACTTAAAATATGATGAATAAACTCTAGATTTGAGATTTGAACAAAATATGAAAATTAACTTATGGATATAATGTGGGTAATAATAGGATGGTTTGGGGCGAATGGGATATGATGTGGGTATAAATAGGATGGTTTGTGGGGACTAATAGGATATGATGTGGGTATGAATAGGATGGCCTGTGGGGACTAATGGAATATGATGTGGGTATGAATAGGATGACTTGTGGGGACTAATGGGACATGATGTGGCCATG